GTAGAGACAAATATTAGCTTCACTAATAAATAAATATTGTTGTTTTATTGTCCCGTTTATTCCTTGATATGAAGAGTTTCAACAGGAGCTAGTCAAGGTATCCAAATACAAGAAAGGAATGCCATGTTTGTTGTCATTTCCAAAACAACCCAAAGTCCACAGTGATTCATGGTTTTTTCATCATAGTAGATCCGCTAGATCGGTTTGCAGTATTCGGCATTTTGGTGCAATTAGTTGTTTTTAGGAGGTATCAGGCACTAGTCTGAATTTTTGTTTGTTCTTGCTCCCCTTATTACAAGTTAATGAGAAATGAAGTACCTACCTATTGCTCCTTCTTGACTTGTAACTGAGGACAAAATCTGAGAAACTTAGTAAATTATAAATCAATGTGTCTTCTGTTACACATACACATTCGGAAATGGTGGGTAGGCACATCATAACTTTGCACTACATTTAAAATAAACATATCTTAAGCACCAGCAACACATTTTTAAAACTTTTATTGTCGTTGTAGTAAACAATCACAGTGACCCGCTTTTTTCCGAAATACATAACAGGGTAATAAAAGGAGTGTAATTTGAACTTTCAGTTAATTGAAACCACAAATTCTAAAAAAAGACGTTCAAGTGCCTACCTTCTAAGGAACGTTCGCCGACTGCATGCATTTAATTCTCAAAGTTACTTCTTTTAGTGATGCGGCACGTTTGAAATACAGATTGTTTAAATGTTTAGGAAAGATCTATTTGCCTAACCAAAGGTTGTTTACATATATAGAATAGACGACGCTGACACTTACAGGATGCGTTTGATCTTTTTTGGGATTTATGATCAAAATATCATTTCTATATTTAAACTTATAAATTTCTGCGAAATCGCCATCACCGTCGTTCATAATCGTTCATCATCCCCTTTCATTATTACCTAAGTAAACCTTAGTAAATGCAGTAACCAGTAACATTATAAATATTGCTTTTGTTGCGCCTAACGGCGGGCAACTAATCGTACACCACAATACATCAGAATTTTTAATAATCTTTATGTGTCTGTTAGTATCGCCAATGATTCAAAGATGGGGCTTAAACACGAACTTATAAATTAAGATGAACTGCTGATCAAACAGTTGCATAGAGGTAGAAATGGCCCTAGAATTGGCGCGGCCATGATGTGCACGTTTTAGTTATTTTCTAGGGGAATTTTCCTAGTGCTCAAATTTTGAGAGTATTGTAGCCTTGGAAAATGACATGTGTAGGTAATGTAATTTATTTAGAAAACGTGAGGTTAATGCTTGTTTATTAGTGGATTTGAAATTCAGCCCAAGTGAGTGCACATTATGGCTGCCCCCATGTAGGTGTCATTTGTCAATTCAGCATTAGCAGTCCATCTTAATTTATAAGTTCGTGTACTCAAAAGACTTGTATAATTCAAGTATACAATGCTTGCCATCAAGGTGGATCCACCTTGGTGGCCATAATTATGCGGTTCTGAAAATAATAAAGTACAACATTACAAGTCAATATTAATGAAAACTAGACCTGGCCACAATAAAGAAAAAAACAGGACAATGCAATCAATTATTTTGAAACATCTTGTACAACAGTAGGGGAACAGGTAGAATTTACGAGTATTTTATAAATAAAGGCACGAATTTTTTGTTGAACTTCTTTGAGGGACTGATAGGACTAACCATATCCAAAATTTGGAAACGCAGTCGTTCCAACGCCTCTGGATGGCTGTAATCACATATAACCCTTAGCAAGAGGCCTATTATAATCAAGATATTTATTAAAAATGTTAATTCAATTTTGTACTTTCATTTATTTAATTCGATGAGAATTTATATATATATATATATATTTATAACCGAGGAAAAGGGGGTCAATTTTACTACGGAAGTAAAGGACAGTGCGAAAATATTTCCACCCCGATTGTTATTCAATTTTCGTTTTACGTAGTTTAAAATCTTTGATATACACGCAGACCGAGACCTATCCCCTCAACTCTTAATTCCTAGGTGGAAGACGGATGTCTTTCTATACCTCCAAAGAAAACCTTCCAGGGCGCCTTGCAGAGCATCAAAGCATTGATTATACACACCTGTATAATCAATCATCAAAGTAATGATCTCGAGAGACCCTAATTTGCATACCATCCCCGACGGTAAGTTGGAATTATTAAAAGCTAACATCGTCGAAGCGATTTTTGACAGCGAAGAAGAGGCAAAGCCTTCTTTTCTGCGAAGCCTAGCAAACTAGCAAGGCAAGACTGATGTTCCCCTCTCTCCTGCAGAGTTGGACTGGGTCAAGCATAGAGTGACCCAGTGACCCTGTGACCCAGTTAGTTTACTGACCCGGTGACCCAGTTGACCCGGTGACCCAGCTTGACCCGGTGACCCAGCTTGACCCAGTGACCCAGCTGACCCAGCTTGACCCGGTGACCCAGCTTGACTCGGTGACCCAGTTTGACCCGGTGACCCAGCTTGACCCGGTGACCCAGCTTGACCCAGTGACCCATCTTGACCCAGCTTTACTCAGTGACCCGTCTTAACCCGGTGGCCCAGTAATTAAATTATGGTTAGGGATCATCCAAAACAATTTTAAGTAACTTTTAATTTTAAAAAAAACTTCCTCAATAATATTCGGCAACAAGCACGTAGCCCAATTTCATTCAAGAGAACTAATACCTAAAAAAAATCAAATGCATTTGTTTATAGTTTGTAGTCAAGTAGTCAATGAAAGTATTTAGAGAAAAGATTTATTTGGATTAAGCTAACTAGTAGAAAAAAATTAAATGTGAATGAATACCTGTAAGCAAACTGGTAAGTCCTGAAGCAAAGAAATAACGGGACATGGAAAGTTTTTTACGGCAGTATTAAAGCAAACATCACAGAAATGGCAGTTGTCAAGCAATCGAGTATTATTTTCAACAAACCAGCATTTCATTTATTTCATACTTGAACCGAGGGCACTGACTTAACTGCGTTATTCGATCAAACTAGGTGACTGGGTCGAATTGGGTCCCCGGGTGAAATTGGGTCGCTGGGTCAAACTGGGTCACTGGGTCAAACTGGGTCACTGGGTTAAACTGGGTCAAGTTGGGTCACTGGGTCAAACTGGGTCACTGGGTCTAACTGGGTCACTGGGTCTAACTGAAAAGAGTATGACGTGACCCAGCGACCCAGTTGAATTTAGTGACCCAGGTGACCTAGTTGACCCAGTGACCCAGTCCAAATCTGCTCTCCTGTATGGACGCGGAGAAGGTCCAGTGGCTGAAAAACCACGTCGCAACGGATAAATCGTGGGAGATAGCTCTCAACTGGAACTTCGGGAGGAAAATGGTCCCCCAACTCAACCAAAATGCAGACATTAACGTGAAGGACAATGCGCCGGACAGTTATCCAAACGAGAATCCGCGATTTGCTTTCACGCTCAGATAAGTTCTGCAGCGCAACTGATTTACGAAAGGGGCAACAATTGCCCCAGTACAGTGGTTTTCGTAAAGTCAAAACTACAGCCTTTCCTCTTTCAGTTCATAACAAAAGAGCTGGTGGCTGTGGTGGCACCGGTGTTGCCAAAATAGTTTATGCTTCGGCATGCTTCCCGGGGGAAAACGAGGAAGTAGTGCCTCCGCCACCGCAGGTACGGAGGCTGAGCAGATACTTCAAGTAGAAGGGGATGCATCTTTTTAACGGATGTAACACCAACTCCCATCGTCTCCACTGGGGAAGCACGGACACAAACCATAGAGGTGGGTATTTTTGAGATTGTCAGAGGAACTAGAGATACTCAATCAGTGCAATGAGCCAACATTTGTAACCAGTAACACGTAAGAAATCTTGGGTAAATATACTATTTAAATATGTAGTATTACCTATATTCCTCCTCTTTCCGAGCAGCTAGAATAATGGAATGGAGGGTCTCTGACAATCCTGGAGGAATAATGAGCTAGGAAAACTCAGGAAAGTCACCAGAAGGGTGTATAACAAAGTCAAACGCACTGGGTGCGGAGATGAATATAGAACGTCCCTCACTGAGTGTAGTAAAGCGATTTGGAAGGCAAAAAGAGTGAAAGATTCTGTGAAACGATAGATGGAATTCTCGTAGCCTCTCGCCTACGAAATATCCTCTCAAAGAACAACCCGTTGAGAACATCGGCTCAACTAGAGAAACTTTGCAGATCTTGATGTGGACGCAAATCCGAATTCCGTTGATCAGAGGGCCTCCATCTTCCCATCCTGCCAACAAATTTGACTACGATGTTATGGACTGCCACAATACATCATCACTCATCAGTGTCGGGGGACTTAGAATTCTGTCCATTCACCTTATAAAAGTGACTGAAACAAAACGCCCATTCCCTGGCCCATTCTAGTAATGCGATCTAAAATGAGTTGCTGTCGAGTCACGTTAGGAAATCGCACTTAACGTGAACTGCCAAAGGCGATTCGACCGCCACTAAATTTTGATCGCCCGTTAGAACTTTTTAGGGGGAGTTATACTCGCCTAGGCTATAGGACTGGAGGAAGGTAGATGTGGTTTTTATTTCTAAGGCAGGCAAAAGATCCAGGAGCCAACCTAAGAGCTACCGACCCATCAACCTATCGTTCTTCATCCTTAAAACGATGGAGAGATTAATACGTTGTTGGCAAGTAGGTCCCATCACCTCTGGTCGTCCACAGCAGAAGCACAAGTAACCCAGACCCAGAATAGTTTGTCTGAGAACTACTGGAGCAATGGGTATTACACCTACAGCTGCCATGCGGGTATTGAAGAAGGAAGCAGCGAGGGAAGCAATCAGATTACTCCGAAATGAAGTGGGAGGAATACATAAAGGTGCAAACACTTGTACAACTATACAACAATTACACATTCCTGAAATCCTGACTTCATATACAGGATTTCAAACTACCTGACTCCCAAATACCGTGATCCGGGACAAGAAAGTCTGTAAGAACAGTCCAGAATTGAAGAAAAGATGCACGCGAAAGTCATTAGGTCGAGCCATTTCTGTAATTGATTTTTCTTTATTTGGAGATGTTGAAATTTTATCAAACGGACTATTATACTAATTATTTTTGTTACAAATCACTTACTTACACATATTACAAGTTATTTATCAAAATTATAAACTACAGTATAAATTAAGATCTTACAATCTATAATACACAACAATATGAGTGTAATTCCTTAATAATCATAGGGCAAAAACCATCCACCTATTAGTGGAAGAAATACTATACTCGAAAGCTTCATTCTTTGATGGCATGTAACGCATACCAATATGAATCACTGGATGCCCAAAACCAATTCTTCGTTAAAAACTCAAAGTACAAACCTTTTACTGTTTGGACTTCGCATTTATCTAAAACAAAAGATTTTCGGAACCGAATGCCTCCTAAGACAACTTACATTTTTTCAGAAATTCGGTGATCTCGTTTGGAGTTATAAAGTTATTCCAAGTGTGCGTGTTTCTTGGTATCACATTGAATATTTCCTGTGTAAGCATAACGCATACCAGCCAACTCATGAACGTCTTATTGAGAGTCGTTATGAAAAGCGAACCTCCTGGTTTCAAGCATCTTATGCACGCATCTAAAAATTGGTGCTGAGGTATGACGTGCTCGATCACCTCTGACACGACAACCGCATCGTATTTTTCACAATTTTTTGTGCCATGCATTTCCATCGTGGTGCAGTGGTAGTTTAAATTTGTAAGAGAATTGTCTAATCGCGCGTGGGAACGGGCGGTACTAATATGATCGTAGTTGGCGTCAACCCCGTCAATTTTCAAACCTCTCCTCGCCAAGGCTTCCGTCAAAATACCGCCTGGAATATAAATTGTATTCTAAGTGATATCAGAACACATTTATCGGCTTTAGGTACCTCCGCAACCCACGTCCAAAACCAATTTTTCTGTTAAAGGCGTCGCGGTGGCGCTGCTTTGAGTTGCCATGAGACCTTCCATTATGAATTGGGTACGAAGTGGAGTCATTCGATGTAATGGTTTCGCAGGTCCATCTACATTCCACAATACGTCTCCTTGTTTCGTAAAACTTTCAAAATCCTGCGCAACAATCGATGCAGTGACATTCGAAATGCGACAGTACTGCACCAAGTAGGAAATTCTGCAACATGATTACTAATATTATATTGGGATAGTTAAACCAACTACATCATCATCATCATCATATAATCTACCGGGCACCGGTGCTACGCGGAGCACACTTTGAGCAAAAGTAATGCAAAGAATAGATTTGAGTAACTCTGGTCTATAGCATCTAATTGTACCTACATTTACATTGCAATAAGAATCCAAAGGACCTTTCTCGTTAGAAAGGTATGCATGAAATATGATGGAAATACTGAGGAGTAGATAGATCTAGCTATCTAATACTATGCATACAATGGTAGAAGTTGAACTAAATGGAATAAATGTCAATAGCACCACAGGCGTGCATTCGAGAATCTTCAGGAATGCATCGATCGTAATCCGATTCCCTCTATTCATGCTATATAGATATCATCTACGTTCCTAGAACATTCTGAAAGTGTATAAATGTAAATAGATATGATTGCGTTCTTAACCGTGACATAAATTATTAAAACCCGGTGATATTGTTATTAATTTATTAAACAGTGTTTAAAGTCCTTTCAATTAAACATGATATTCACAACACAGGAGCTTCAAGATGCGTACAAAGGTTTGCAAGTATTAAACCAACAAATGAATTATTTAAACGATTGTTCGACATTTTGAATATATTTTTAGTTTTTATTTTCTTGTTTCCTGTTGTCCAGATGAGTGAATTTAAAATACGATGACATAATCTTGTTTCGCGTGGTTACAAATTAACATTCCAATAAAAATAAGATATTCATTAGAGATAATATCGTTTATTCATTCATTATTATAAATGCTTAAAATTTAAAAATCGGTAATCTCCGTGAAAGTTTGAATATGCGGTTTAAACATATGCCTCGAAATCCATTTCCATATTTTAATGATTCTGGAAGGGCATACTTACCCGGCTCACACGTGGTTCAGGTGAACAAAGTTGAGAAACCTGTTGGAAAGCGTACCCAATGGACTTACCGTTTCAGTTGCAAAAATCCCATCTTCGGACTTAACGAAGCTGCCATTATGTCTGAAAACTAAAGAGAAAACAGAATGAATTCCCGAATTTGAATTAAGCACATCCATATATAGTTTCAACAATGCGTAGTTAACTAAACCTTGATCTTTGTCATCTCTACAATGGTAAAATATTAATAGTCGGCTTAATTTAAATAATTGAATTGCATAGAATAATTTTTAAATTAATGGGTTCTGATCTATTACGTATGGCATTTTTTACGACGCCTTTTCACGACTATCAGAGTCCCGTTGCTGTGCCGTTACCGGTTTCGATTCTATTCTATTTCTATCTACACTTTTCCTTAAAGAATGAGCATAAAATCCATCAACGCATTAAAATCATTGAACATTTGGTATACCTACACCTACACCTACACTGCAAAAGAGTCAGCCGAGTGCATGGACATTTTGGAAGTACAGTACTAGCAATTATAATCTTTTACATTTATTTAATATTTAAAAAAGTTATTATAACTAATAACTAATTAATAAGTTTTCCAAATTAAAAGTCCAGGAAACGAGGGCTTTGATCTAGCAATGATTTAGCCTAACGATCAAAATATCATTTATGCCAAAGTGCTCTTTCATCCTGAGTGTGGTTGACACCCCATTTCAAGGATGAAATTTTTTATTATGAATTAATTCTAAATGTCTTTCGTAAAGACACATGTACACGTATACATTTTTCGAGTTATCCACGACCGAAGGTGTCACTTTTTCATAGAAAATATCAATTTTTTTGATTGGTTATTCGCGAAAAACTCGAAAAGTATGCATTCTATAAAAAAACTGTGAAAATAAAATTGTAGTTTTTGAAAAAACAAAGAACATGATTTGTATTGCTCTATGATGGGAAAACTATGCATTTTTCGAGAACTTATGGAATCTGGAAATCTTATGGAAAACAAAATTTAAAAAAAATCAAATTAGTTTCGTAACGAGTGCAAAACTGCAACGTTGAATGTGGTACAAAAAGAATTAGCCAAATGTCGATATTGGAAAATTGCTTACCGTGCGGAAAGAAGGTTGAGGCACCTCTTGAGCTAGAAAAACATCAGTAGTTAGTGGTTTGGCAGTGAGTAGCTCAGTAGCAAGGGTAAGTCCCCAATTTTACTTCAAATTTTCTAAGTTAAGAACAAATTGTCCATCACATTGTGATGACTTAGAAAATTTCAAGTGAAATTGGGGACTTACTACCCTTGTTACTGAGCTATACTTACTGCCAAACCACTAACTACTGATGTTTTTCTAGCTCAAGAGGTGCCTCGACTCGCTATATAAAAAATTACTTTAACTCCTTACAATACATACATAATATAATAATACAACCTAAGGATTCAATATGACTCGTCTGGGAGTTTCACGTATGCCTTTTCCAACTTTTTTTTTTAAATTGGAATCGAATGAGCCTATAGCTTGAGGGCACAGAGAAATTCAGATCTCCATGAAATCTGATATCTGAAGTTAAGTTTTAAAAAATCTGTTGCAATTCTTAGCCAGAAAGCAAAATGTCACGGATTTTGTAGTATTTTAAAACAATATTGTGAAACAGTGCATACGAGTCTTAAAAATGTATGCGTATGTTTACAATTGACAGTTGACATAACTGCACAAATGTCTACCTACCCATATTTTGGAAAGGCCTTCTGCGCTGGTCGAGCATCCCATTTGGGTTAAATCCGATAATTTTAATGAAAAGTGATAAGAACTGAAAAACCATATTGACACGTGATGTGGATATCAAAAGGAACAAAATTTCACGTAGGATCCAAAAATGCAATAAAAATAGAGCTCGTCATTTCTAACAATAAAGTGGCGCCTAGTTCCCATTCGCCAGTTTTAAAATATTTTATATCCATTCCGCTTTATTTCACAAATTTGTCAAAGCAAACGATCACCATTTTTTAAATTTTATTGAAAAAACTATAGTGAAATGATAATTAGTACACTTCCCATTTCACCCTCATTGTTGTTTGTCCCATGCACAGCATGTCCCTGTCCCTAATCGAGAATGACAGTTGCAATTGGTTATCTCCGGTTCCAAAACGTTTCCTTGTACCTAATGTAGTAATAATAGGCACCAGTTGATTGTTGTCATTTTTAATAATCTGATCAGCAATCTACAATAGGCGCAAATAATTTGCCTATTGATAATTCCATCACAAATATAAGCAATAGATAAGTGAGGAAAAGGTACAATGCATTAATCAGCGTTCATCAATTTAAACATTAATTATGTTCAAGTACCAAAACCTTTCTTTGGTGTTCCATTCTATTCAAGTGTTCCTGTTTTACCGTAAATTTATTAAAGGAACAAACAATTACCAAAATCTATCCCAACTATCGCGTTTTAATTAATCTTTCGCACGAAATCTACTTGCAACCGAAATTCTTGCAAGTACTTATTAATATAATTGCGGTTGGGCGCAAAAAACGTATACGTGACCGGACTCAGCTAGGACCACAGATGTAATCTGTACAATGTTAACCACCTCCATCATAAAGAAAAACGAAAGTAGGCAATCGATTAATATTTATTATTTATTGCTTTTGAGGATCGTTTGGAATTTAAGCGGTCGAGTGTGAATAATATTATAAAGCTATTCATTGTAACTAATAAGTTTCGTAAGTAATTTTGATGGAATAGATTAATTCCGATTGGTTTGAACTACGATGCACTGACCCAGTAGCTTACAGGTCAATGTCTTGCCCCATTGTTGTAGACAATAGATACATATTTCTCAACTCGTTTTGAACTAGTTAGAAAAACTAACAGACCAGACCTGCAAAACACTTCTGATTCTATTGCACCTTGCTTTTGTTTACTTGAGTGCAATTACAAAGTTACAATGTTAAACAATAAGATTAATATTATTCCTTAATCAAAATAATGATAACAGCAAAATATTTAAGTAGCAGCACTAAAAACAATAGGTGAACTTTGACTATGTGTATCACTTCAAAATTGATGAGGATGGTTCTTCGGTATTATATTATTTTGGAAGTTCTTAAAGTTTTGTCCCTTATTAAAGGAAGCACTAAGATTTTTATTTTTTAATGTAGTACTAATTTAATTCTCCTTCTGGTTTAGATTTTAAAAAAATGCATGCTTACCTTATACTCTGAGAAGTACTAAACACAATTGGCACGTTAGCAACTTAGGAACGTAAAGAACGGAACAGCACAAAGCGCGGATCAAGAATGATAAGATTTCTGTTGGGCTGCTCGACTTATACGAAATCCCAGTCCGGTTTCCGGATAACGGGGTTAACATCAGATACCATTCTATTGTTTATAAATAACCGCTAGCGTAAAGTTCAAGTGTTGGATAACCGAATTGTGAAATAAGCAACGAAATTTGGAATTTGGTCGACGAAGGGTTTGTCGTAAATGTTTAATTTTTATATTTTGTTTTACTACTGTTCTTTTAATCAATCGATGATAACTCGCAGTTTATAAAAACTTGTTTTTGTTTACAAGCTGATCGCAATTAAAATGCGGAAGATTAATTAAAAAGCATTAATTATTTTTATCGAAGCAGAATTTGTATGTCATACATCCGTGGTGATTGTATCATCGATAGCATTATGCAAATTTTCTTGCTTACAGAAGAAAATAGTAAGAGGATGTGCAATGGCTTTTCGAGCATAGGCTGCATAGGTATGGAAAGACAGCTTCTTGCCCTTTATTGGAGACGTGACGAAACACTCATACATTTTGCACTCAATTGCATACCTACAATTTTACGAAGGATTTGTAAATAATGCTAATCGTCACGTAGTGTACCTGGGATAAAGCAGTTATTAGTAATAAATCACGTAATTGCTTACTGACAGAAGAGCTGCTCATGCGGTAAAACTTACTCATTAACGAATGAATGCCTACCCTAATTTGGTTCGAAATCTGTAATTCCTGGCGTCCGAAGAATCCGCATGCAACGTACGGTTGCAGTTTTGCAAAGCTTGGCGAAAACGAAATAATACTGTTTTCCGATCATTAATATAGTCAATTTTGAGTTCGTTTATAATTAAATTAGAGCCATGTTCAGTGGTACCTCTCTATAAACCGAAAGTGCTCGAATTGTAGATATTATTTATTATGAATTCTATAATCCGGAAACATGGGTAATCCGAACGGGTTCTGCCAATTTTCTGTTCGGATTATCCTTACTATAAATAACAAAACGTGTTAATACACTGTTTAAGAGTATTCATTTACTAATTCGATTAAATGGTGTATATTTATGCAGGTTACTTAAAACAAAAAGGTTTTGCAGAAATTTCATCTGATAATTCACTTCATAATAAAGTGCATTGGGAGTATCTCCATCAGCATCTGCATCTAAAGTCCAGTTCTGAAGAAAATAATACTGATACAACAAGTTTAGAAGTTTAGAAAATAATATTGATGAAACTTTTTTGGCGATCCGTTTGGGGACGAGTCATCTTAGGTAGAAATTCTAGGAAAATTTTACAAATCGAAACGGACATTCGGAAATCCGTTAATTTAATCTATCTTTGTGTTAATATTACTGCGAATAAGATTAAACGAATCACTTTTTTGACATACTCAGTTATTACAGTCTGATGTACAAATATAGTAAGTTAAAAATAAGTAAGTGATTGCACTAAATTATTGGAGGTTTACAGCTTCCTTTTAGCACAGAGTATAAATTAGTACTGAAATGACTTTTAATTTACCGAGGGCTCTGCATTTGGAGTGAAATTAGGGGAGCCGATGGTGTCCGTCTGTCCGGCTGTCCGTCCGTGAACACGATAACTGTCAAACGCTTGGACCGATTTGGTTCAAACTTTGCACAGTTGATGTTTTGTATTAGATTTAATTATACAAAATACGTTTTTATTTGATTCAATATGAAAAATATTTATGACATATCATTCGATATATTTTTTATCTGATTACTTGATAATAATGAAATTTTAATACATTACAGATTCTCCCACACTTATTAAAAAATTGAAATTGAATATTTTTGAATTACTTCTTCTGTATATATTCTAACAAGTATCTAGGTGGTTGTCGATACCTCTCAGATCTCCGTAGTATAGGTTCTTCTGGTGCTGGTCTCCTTACATCTTCTAATACAGGTCGCTCTATTTGCTGTCGGGGTTGTATAATCATCATTTCGTCCATTCCCTCAGTCTTCTGTTTGTCTGTAATGCTCTCCTGTCGATCGTCTTGGAATGTCACTGTTTTCTTTGGAGGGACGCTTGTTTTGGCAAGCTGGTCTATATGCCTCTTTAAGCTGTAACCATTATCTAATTTAATTTGATAATGTAGTCGTCCAAATGTTTGTTCAATAGTTTCGAATTTCCATGTGGGTTTGTTGTCTGCATACCATCGTGCTTGTACCCTCTCTCCCACACTATAATTTCGAATATTATGATGAAATATTTTGTTACCAACACTTCCTTTTGGCGGTCGCATCGCATCAAGTTTTATACGGATATCTCTTCCTAAGTATAATTGCGCTGGTGTTTTTCCACATTGTAGAGGGGTTGCTCGATATCTAAAAAGTATTTCTCTAATTTTCACGTGCATCGATAATTTCTCTTCTGCCATAGCTGTAAGTTTACGTTTGAGGGTTTGTATGTTTCTTTCAGCCAGGTCATTTGTTGATGGATGTCCAGGTGCAGTAAATTTCTGGATGATACCGTTTCTTGTACAAAATTCATGAAACATTGTACTTTGAAATATTGAAGCATTGTCAGATACCAATACTTTTGGTAACCCATGCGTACAAAAAATTTCTTGCAATAAATGTATGGTATTTTCGGATGTAGGTGCTTGTTTTATTGGTTTAATTTCGGCCCATTTCGATTTTGCATCTACTACAACGAAGAAATGAAAACCCTGGAAAGGTCCTACATAATCCATATGGATCCTATCGAAATTTTCTTGAGGTTCTTCCCAGTGATGCAGTGGTGCCTTTTCTGGATTCTTCCTTATGAGAGCACAGCTTTCACATAATTTCACCAATTGTTCGATGTCCTTATCGATGTTTTTCCAATAGCAGTATTTTCTTGCAAGTTGTTTCATTTTTACTACACCTATATGGGTATGATGTAGTTCCCTTAGTACTTCTGAACGAAGATTTTCTGGTATTACGATTCGATTACCTTTGAATATTATTCCACTTTCCACACTGTAATCATTATTTTCCACATTTCCTTGCGTGTTCGGTTCCTTCTGCTATTGACGTATGTGTGATTGAATGAGTGGATATTTGATTTATGGTTTGATCGCATATAACTTGTAGTTCTTCATCTAGCAGTGTTTCAATACCTGGAACTTTTTGATGATGTGTTGATCTTGACAAGAAATCTACGTTTTGATGCTGTTCTGCTTTTCTGTGTTGAACCTTGTAGTTAAAATTCTGCAAGAATGTTGCATAACGCAATAATCGGCTTGATGTCATGGCTGGTAATTTCGAATCTTGATGAAAAATACGTGTTAATGGCTTATTGTCAGTGATTAGTGTAAATTGTTGGCCATAGACATAATTATAGAATTTGTTCACTGTAAAAACTATTGCGAGCGCTTCTCTGTCGAGTTGGTTATAATTTTGCTCTGCTTGGGTGAGCGATCTTGATACAAAAGCCACAGGTCTTTCTCCTCCTTCGATAATATTTGATAGAACTCCTGCGATACCTGTCGGACTGGCATCACATGCAATTGTTATATGTAAATTTGGATTGAATGGTACCAATACTCTATCGCTTGATATTTCTTGCTTCAATTTGATAAAAGCCGCTTCGCATATTGATGACCATGAAAATTTATAATTTTTTTGAAGTAGCTTCCTGAGTGGATATGTTAGTGTTGATGCATTTGGTATAAATCTTGAGTAATATGTTACCATTCCTAAGAACTTACGTACATCATCTGCATTTTTCGGGCGAGGAACTTTTTCGATGGCTTCCACTTTGTTTTGACATTTGGAAATTTGATTATATCGAACGGTATATCCTAAGTACTGGATTTCTGTTTTGAAAAAATCACATTTATCTTTGTTAAGATGTAGATCATTTGCTTTCAGCCTATCTAAACATCTTATCAATCGTTTACCACACTCCTCTCTAGATGTTGCATGTATAATAATATCGTCAAAGTAAGACATGGTTCCATCTAGATCTTGCAAAATTTCTTCCAATATTCTATTAAATTCGTTCGGAGCGGTTTTGATCCCAAAGGATAACCTGTTCATTCGGTACGTTCCTCTATGTGTTGATATTGTTTGAATTGCTTGGCTATCTTGATCAACTTGTACATGCAAGTACGCTTTGTATAAGTCCAGTCTGCAAAAAACTTTTGAATTACGAAGATTGTTCAGAATCTCGTCAATATTCCTAATTGGATAGTGGGCTGCTTGCAATTGTTGGTTGACAGCTATTTTGTAATCCACACAAAGCCTTACGTTTCCATCTGGTTTGGGTATGACTACTAATGGCGATCCCCAGTCGCTTAGATTAACCTTGGTAATAATTCCAGTCTTCTCGAGCACGTCTAGTTCTCGTTCGACTTTTTCTCGAAGTGCATATGGTATGATTCGATGTTTGATAAAAGTTGGTTTAGCGTTTTCGCGTAGCTTTAAGGAACATTTTACGTTTGGAATACATCCCACTTTTGGTTCAAATATATCCTTATATTCAGAAAATATATTTGGAATAGGGTCAATTGCAAAACAATCCGACTTTGATAAATTTGTGTTATTTTTATCGATTTCCGCTAAATTAATTTGTAAATGGCGTATCCAGATTCTTCCCAAAATTGGGTGATATTTCGATGGTACTATGTACATTTCTTCTGGTGATTTTCTTCCTTGATATTCAACCTCAACAGATACAAAACCTATTGGGGTAAAAACTTCTCCCGTATATGATCGAAATAGTGTTGATAGCTTTCGAAGAGTTGCTTTTAAATTCAATCTCACGTAATCTGTTTCCGGAATCAAGGTGTATCCTGCTCCCGAGTCGACTTCAAATGATTGACGCTTTCCTTCGATATAAATATCAGTAATATATTTACGGATTTCATTTTGATGTTGTACACTGTGTTTTTGAAATATGTCCACAATGTTATTGATGCTATTAAATTGTTCGTTTTGTGATGAAACGTAATTCGTTTCCACATTGGTTGAAGCGTTGTTTGATTTTTGTTTCATTATTGTTTGTATGCATACTTTTGATACATGTCCCGATTTACCACACGCATTACACTTTAACCTGTTGCTATCAATACGACAACAGTTCGCCCTATGATTAGCACGACCGCACCTTAGACACAAATTGTTGATGCCTAAATG